CTTTTAGAATTTCGAGGTCAACAGATTGTAATAAGCTTTACAATATATGTTTAGTAATTATAGTTTTACTTAATAACAATCTTTCTTCAGAGTTGTCACATTGAAACTGAATTTTAAAAGATTTATAAATTATTCAATTTACAATTGTAAAAAATAAAAAGAAATTTAGTAAAAATTCATTTTACATAGAAAATCTTTTTTTCATCAGACAATATTGTCTTTAATATATATTACTCATAAAAGCAATTAAAAGCTTCTCTAATTAAATAATATCTTAGTTTTATAGCGTTTTTTTTTTTTAATTTTCGATTCAGAACAGATTTTCGGTAAGATAGGTCCGATTTTGCAAAAAAAAAATAAAATAAAATAAAATAAAATAAAATAAATAAATAAAATAAAATAGGTAATCAAAATTCTTCAACGAATTCTAATTTTACCCAATATAGTTAGTACAAATTATCACGTTGAATTTCTCAAGTTTTCATGAAATTAAGTAAAGGTCTGAAACATACGTATAAAAAATATTTTTACTAAGATTTTCTAGTAAGAAAAATTTCAAAAATAATTTCATTCATTTATAAATAAGTCCCGAATTTTCATAAAACCTCCGACCATTATTTCATTTTTACATGAAGTTCTAAATTAATGTCTATGCTACCGCAAAAAAAAGAGGCTAATTTTTTTTATGTTAATATTTAGTAGAAACACTGACGCAAGAAAAACAAGTTCTTAAATGAAAATTTCGTATGTTCTAAAAAGGAGTAAAACTTTAATTAAATACTCAACAATACTTTGATCCTTCCTCTTAATATTAATATTAATAAAGATTCTAACGATAAAACTTTGTTTTCATTACGCATGAAGCATTTTTCCTCACGGTATGCTAATTTTTTACCGATATCGTGGAGGTAACTAGTTTTTACCAATGCCTGTTCTAAAACCACAAATTCTATCTCTGGCTAATATTCTAATCTAGTGAGTTTTTTACGGATGCACCACAATCAAACTGTATACCATACTAAGAAAACACAAAAAGGTTGATAAGCCGTAAAAAACAATCTGACACTATTTGTTACTGGTAATCATAAGAAGGTTTGGTTTTTTTTTCAACAAAAGGAGCGATATATTGATGGACTCTCTTATTAAAAAAAAATAGGAAGGGTTAATGAATAAACCTCGTGGGAAAAATTGAAGATTTTAATTTTCACGTAGAAAACCATCTGAATTGTGTGTCGGAGTTTTGAACACTGAAAGACATAGGCCTGACGTGGCTTTGAACTGCGATATTTCAAATGGCAACAACGATTGACACTTGGTCGATCACACACACACACATGCAGCTATAAATACGAGCTATGAATGGGAAAGTTTTCTGCGTAAACAACGGACTTAGAATTAATCTTTGATGGTCGGTGGGTGGCTGAGGTAGTAGACACAGATGAGTCACCAAGGAAGCGACCCACGCCCACTGAGGAGGATTAGAGGGAGATGATGATAAGAGGAAGGGGAAGATATGGGGCGAAATGTCTGTAACCATCACCCGTGGAAGAGGGGAATTCCCCCAAATTATGAAGTAATTTAATTCTCAGTACCTAAATCAATGAAGATGACAGGAGGAGGAAATACCGAATTATCCAACTGCGTCGTACCCTGCGCTGGTTTAAGCGAACATCAATAAATAAGAATGTACCGAAGTTAGATCGTCAGGCGAGAGAAAGACAGAGAGATTTCTAGCCACCAGACGCGAGACACACCATGTGATTATCTACCCAGGAGAACATCCAACATCAGCCTTGTGCTGAACTTTACCAAGTCAATAAAACAAACTTTACTAAGTCAACAATGTGTCACGTCAGAGTTAGAAGCGAGTTCGGCCGACAAATGTTGCACGCGAACTTTTAGATGAACAGCAATTACTGCTCGAAAGACTTGATGTAAAAATAGTATTTTTTTTAAAAAAATATTCCAGTGTTATTTTCTTTCTTTGCGTCTTCGCCCTGCTTGGACCAAGCCAATAAAAAGATACATGACAACGATTCGATTTTGGTCGCCTTATGAACAAAGCAAATCACAGCGTGGGATAAGGCAGGACCTGGATCGAAGCGATCACTTCATCTATCAGCCGCGGTATTGTACATCTTGGACAACCAGGGAGGGTGTAAGGCGACAATTGGTTGCTGTGGACCAGGCTCGACCCTGAAGGCGACAACATATCAATAATCTAATAAGCAAATAAAAATATATTTGAGGGCTCCCCTTGTACATTATATATATATGTGGAGGGGGGAGAATATGATAAATACATATCTATATACTGAGTCCTGGGTATGATGATAAAGTACATCCGGCAACAGGACCTCTCTCTGATCGGGAGAGTGGAGTTTTTGACGAGCGTGAAACTACCTCTTACTTGCTGTCGTTCTAAGCTCCACCCTGACCCGGGTGGTAGTACCTGTTTAGGTTCCCAGCTATGGGCAAATAATTAACCTCCAAATTGGTGTCAAAACAATAAATGCATTTATATCGTAAAAATGCCAGTAATAGATTTTTGAAAAAAATAAAACTACCAGCAATACATTTTGAAAAGAAAATTACTAATGCTTCAAATAAAATCAATTTCCGGCATTAAATGACCCATAAGAAGTTGATGTGCCGCTAAACACGCTATCTAAAAATGGCTTTAAATAACCAGCAAACAGTTGATAAGCCTTAAAACGAATCAAGCAATTAACGAGTTTTTTTTTCCCGTTCACATTTTCTTAAAACCTCCTCGCTGACAAATACGTAAGAAAGTAAGAAAAGCATAGAAAAGTTAGCCTACGTGGAAATGGATGGCAGAACAGGGAGTGTCACCGATCGTAAAGGAACATATATTGCTTAGATGTACGAAGGATAGGAAGTAGTGGAGAGTGATAAACTTCCACCTCCTGAATGGACACAGCACTTTAAAATAAGAGCCGGTGAGAATGAAGGGGAAAAAAATCAACTCTAACGATCGAATTTCTTCTTTTTTTTTTTTTTTTTTTTTTTTTTTTTTTTTTTTAATCACGTCCGTACTCTCGTTGTCCGAGAACGTTCTCCTGCAGTCTCGGATTCTATTTGTATTTCATTGAAACGATACTTTGTTTATTATGTTGATATTATATTTGGATTTTTGTTTTAAATAAAAATCATACTTTCAGTGTTTAATGCTAAGTGTTTTGTACGCCTCCACGCCAGAGGATCATTATTTTTCTTTTCTTTTTTTTTTTACATGTTATTAATTTCTTTTCTTTTTTTACTTTTTATTTGGCACGCGTTGATTAAAGACGCAGTAATTAATTCTCTTTTGATCGCCATCTTTACAAAGCATATCCTTTGCTTTGATGTGTAGCGAAAATTGAATGCTCGTCTGTGAATGGACTTGAGGCTGTTGGTACGTTCTTTAAAAAGCAATGAGGCAAAAATGAACGCCATCATTCCATCGACCGAACAATTAACACTGAAGAGAAAAATGCAAAATGGCGATTGCACTTTGTCTTTCCCCCTCTTTATCACATTGTATGTTTCTTTTCTTTCTTAATATTTTTAACTTTATTTGGCAACTGCTTCGTTTTAACTTTTGTTACTCGTTTGTTTTATTGTTTCTTTCATTCACCGCTTTTGTTTTTGTTCTTGTTGCAATTTGATCTTTGTTTTCGACATTAATTCAAAACATTTATCTAATTTTATGTCGCCGGTACATTTCGATTAACTTTTTGTGTTTGTTAAAGTGTTTAGGTTATTTGTTGATCAGTTTGTGTTTCTTATTTTATCCACAGTTACCTCCCTTGTTTCTATTGTTGCTTCTTTCCTTTGCTCTTTCTTTTTCATTTATTTCCATTGTTATTTTCTTTCTATTTCCTTTTTTTTTCTTTTCTTTTTTTCTGGAAGAATATTATTAATAATATTTTACGTTATATTTGTTTTTCTTCCATTTTTCTTCTAATTCCTTTACTTTCCCTATTTGTTGTAATATACTTTCATATTTTTACTGTCTTTTTTTCTTTCCTTTTTCTTCTGTGTTTCTTTTTAATTCATTTTCTGTCTCTCTTTTTTCGTGCCAGATCAGAATTGTTTTAATTCTGACTCATATTTTCAAAGCGCACTTTTAACTTTGTCACTCACTTTTTATTTCATTTTATTCATCTGTTCTGAATCTTCTATTTTCTTCTTTCTCTCTTTATTTATTTATTTATTTATTTATTAGTATTTATTTGTAATTTCTTTCTTTTTCCCTTTCTATCTGTAAGGTCAGTATTCATTGGATTCTACGCCATATTTTTATAGCTCTCTTTTTAAATTTGTCACTTTTTTCAATTTATTCCTGTTCTAAATCTTCTTTCTTTCTTTCTTTTACATCTTTTTTTTTTCTTTCTTCTGTATTCCGTTTCAGTTTGTTTGTTCCTTACTTTTTTCGAAGTCGTTACCGATCTAAATCTGCCTCATACCTACCATTTAATTTTATCTCTCACTTTCTATTTCATTTTATTCGTCTGTTCTTAATCTTCTAGTTCTTTATTTCTTTCTTCCTTCCGTTTCTTTCTTTTTCTTTTCTTTCTTCTCTATTTCTTTTCAATCAGTTAATTCATTTATTCATTCTTTTTTCCTTTCTTTCTTCTTTCTTCCTTTTTAATTCTTCTGCATATTTTGATGCCTCTCTTTTTAATGTTATCCATCTTTTTTTTTTATTTTATTTTATTCATCCGTGCTTAATTTCTTTCTTTTTTCCTTCTGTTTCTTTCATTTTCCTTTCTTTCTTCTGTATTTCTTTACAACTAATTAATTTATTTATTCGTTCTTTTTTCCTTTCTTTCTTCTTTCTTTCCTTTTTAATTTCTTTCTTTCTTGCTATCCTTCTTTTCTCTTTCTTTCTCCACCTGTATTCCTTTTTAACTTCTTTATTTCTTTTTCATTTCTTTTTTTTAAAGGTCGATATTGAATTAATTCTTCTGCATATTTTGATGCCACCCTTTTTAATGTTATCCATCCTTTTTTTATTTCATTTTATTCAGCCGTTCTTAATCATTTCTTTTTTTTTTTTTGTGTATGTATATATGTATTTATGCATGTATGTTAATCATTTTTAGTTTTTTTTTTGTCTTTTTTTCTATTTTTTTCTGTTCCTTTGTGCAAGGACGTCATGAATTTAATTCCGCCTCGTAATTGTTTTTATCTCTTACTTTTTAAATTATTTTCTGTGCTTGTTGTTATAATCTTTCTTTCTTTTTCTTTCTTTCTTTGCTTCATTATTTTTCTGCCTATTTCTCTTTCTTTCCTCGTTCGTTCTTTATGCCAAAGCGTCATTGATTTAATTTTGTCTAGCATTTTTTAACATTTAGTTTCACAAGCCTTTCTCGCCACCGTTTCTTTTTCTATTCATCCTATTTAACCCCTTCCACTTTCAGTATATTTATATTACACCCTCTTATTTTTTTGTTTTTGTTTTATCATCACTAAAAATTCCTTTTCTTTTTAATTATTTTTTTTCATTTCTTCTATTCATCTTTCAGCATTTGTTTACCCACAAATTGTCTTCGTGTTTTGATCCAAACGTATTTACCTAATTTCCTTCTATTTCTAACCCTTCACTCTTTTCCTGTTTTAATTGTCATCTTTCATTGCCATCACCTATTAAATATTTTCATTATTCCATCAATAAAAAGCACCATACGACAATGAACATTCATAAAATAACAGGATAACAAAAAGAAATTAACTGTCACTGAATCTTTGCCTGATGCACAGTAACCCTGAAGATGGCCTATAAATATCTCAAGTGAAACGATGAGTTAAAACAAAAAAAATGATAATGTTATATTGAATAATACGCGCCATAATGGAAATCTTTTATCTAAATCCTTCACTCGACCCTTTGAAGACCGGAAAACATATCAGTCGGAACTGGTCATTAAAAATAAACAAGATGAGCATAAAATAATTAGGAGTATAAATACAGAACTACATGCTGGATCTTCAAACAAAATAATTGACCCAGCCAGAAGAGAGAGAAATATTGCGATAAAAAAATTACTGGGTTGATACAAAGTTTGTACAGGATTTTAAAGACAGTTTTAAAGACACATTTAAAGAGAGTTTTAAAGACACTTTTAAAGAGAGTTTTAAAGACACTTTTAAAGAGAGTTTTAAAGAGAGTCTTAAAGACACTTTTAAAGAAACTTTTAAAGAGAGTTTTAAAGACACTTTTAAAGAGAGTTTTAAAGACAGTTTTAAAGACACTTTTAAAGAGAGTCTTAATGACACTTTTAAAGACACTTTTAAAGAGAGTTTTAAAGACACTTTTAAAGACATTTTAAAGAGAGTTTTAAAGACACTTTTAAAGAGTTTTAAAGACACTTTTAAAGACACTTTTAAAGAGGGTTTCAAAGAAACTTTTAAAGACATTTTAAAGAGAGTTTAAAAGAGAGTTTTAAAGACACTTTTAAAAAGAGTTTTAAAGACACTTTTAAAGAGAGTTTTAAAGACACTTTTACAGAAACTTTTAAAGAGAGTTTTAGAGACACTTTTAAAGAGAGTTTTAAAGACACTTTTCAAGACACTTTTAAACAGAGTTTTAAAGACACTTTTAAAGACATTTTAAACAGAGTTTTAAAGACACTTTTAAAGACATTTTAAACACAGTTTTAAAGACACTTTTCAAGAGAAGACACTTTTAAAGAGTTTTAAAGACACTTTTAAAGAGGTTTTAAAGACACTTTTAAAGAGGTTTTAAAAGACACTTTTAAAGACACTTTTTTAAAGAAAGACACTTTTAAAGAGGTTTTAAAGACACTTTTAAAGAAACTTTTAAAGAGGTTTTAAAGACACTTTTAAAGACACTTTTAAAGAGAAAAGACACTTTTAAAGAGACTTTCAAAGACACTTTAAAGAAACTTTTTTTTAAAGAGTTTTAAAGACACTTTTAAAGACACTTTTTAAAGAAAGTTTTAAAGACACTTTTTAAAGTTTTAAAGACACTTTTAAAGAGGTTTTTTAGACAATTTTTTAAAGAGTTTTAAAGACACTTTCAAAGAGTTTTAAAGACACTTTTAAAAGAGTTTTAAAGACACTTTTAAAAAGAGTTTTAAAGACACTTTTAAAAAGAGTTTTAAAGACACTTTTAAAAAGAGTTTTAAAGACACTTTTAAAAAGAGTTTTAAAGACACTTTCAAAGAGAGTTTTAAAGAGCATTTTAAAGACACTTTTAAAGAGAGTTTTAAAGAGAGTTTTAAAGACACTTTTAAAGACACTTTTAATGATAGTATTTATTATTAATTCGGTCGAACTAGAACTGGTATTCATGAGTCTATCTCTCCAACCATTACATCCTGCATCAAAGTCGGACGTTCATTAATGTGGTATCCTGAGTTATAACATAGCTTCTTAATGTAGGTAGATGCTAGCCGACCAACCCGTCTTATTAGATTTATCTAAAGCTTTCTATTCTGTACATATGGGGGAAATGGAGAAGATTATTCTAAGATATGACACCCCACCCTGGGATGTTAACTGCCATAATTATGGTATACAAAAAAAAGACAGTGTATACATATTTGTAAATACATTTATTCAATCACATACGTATGATTTTTTTTAAACAACGTTCTACCATTGTTGAAGAAGCTTCATTATTCCATCCTTTCAAAAATTGAAATATTTTTAGACCATGAATTTGTCTAAGTGGTGTTTAATTCCTTTCAGAGAACTGAAGTTCTTCCCGTCAAAGGAACTCAGTCAGAATCATAATCCGAAGTTATAAATTCAGGTTAGCGTGACAGGTGTAGTTGGACATCTCGGCTGCACTATATCGATTTCTGTCGGGTCGGCAAAGGGAATTCAGATCTATCGCTTTTCTGAGGGTCAGGCACACCGTTCCAACTGAGCCACCCCGGTAGCTTTTCCTTGGTTGCTGCATTTAATGGATCCAGTTTGGAATAGTGTTTGTCTCAGTTCGGCATCTGTTTTCGCCGAAGAAGTTCGTAATACCCAACGAAGAATATATCACTATGATCGATGCTTACCCAGAGGTTAATTTGACATTTGAAACTTGTTAGATTAGTCTGATTAAATGATCCACATATCAATTTTTATTGGTTATTTAATGTCGTATAGGCAAAAATCACATTAAAAAGGTAGTTATGCATATAGGTATAGACCTAGCCATTAGAGTAGAAAAAATGAAGATATATACAAATATGGTTTATACATGAGTCTCCAGGTATCCACAAGGAAGTTGATCAATTGGTTTTGTCGGCTTACCGGAGCAAGTCTAAGTATTCGATGTATCAATAAAACTTTTGTGTCCTTCAGTTGAACTGGGAATTGTTCCGTTGCATCTCAGACCAGACATCAGGTTCGTTTCTTCCAGTCAAACGCTTGTAGCTTTAAAATTACCCTTACCGACGAGTGAAAAAACAAAACAATTTCTAACAGTAAACCAAATTTCTTTAGTATACTGCTATAAACGAGCGAAATGAAGATGTGGGATAAGTGCGGGTGGCGTAGGTGCACAGTCCAGCGGCTGTCTCCCCTCTCCGTACTCTGAGGCCTCCTTCGTCCTTTCTATGTGCTTTTTCGTAGGATGTTCAGTTTTATAGATAACAATTTTCTTTGTCCTATCATCTTCGTCGAAAAAAAAGTAATTTATATCAATTCCGCGACTTTCTCGCTATCTGTGTCTATTGCTCTGTACTTTAAAGTTGAATTAACTTACTGATAACGATCGGTCCAAAGTAAATGTTCCGTTTCCATTATCGCGACAGGTCCAGTGGTTTCCAATCTAACAAAAACCTCAACTGCATCAAATTTCTACAGAATTCAAAGAGACTGTGTATTGAATTTGCAGGATAAAGGTTTTGACGAATAAGCCTGTCGAGGAAGCTATTGCAATGGTGATAATGCTGAAAAATACTGCCGAAAAATTGGCGAGAAATGTGTTAATTAAATACGTTTTATCTTTCTAGTCCTACGTAATTACTGTGGGTATAAAATAAAGGAGAATAATATGATGCCAGTTATTAAGAAGAAAATCACCTCTTAACTAACGAAACAGTCACACAGATTGTTAGAATTATATCGTATTTCTGAAGTACGATATATTTCAGGGGTTACTTACCGATCCCTCAGTAAAAAAAAAGACCCAAATTGTGGCAGAGTCTTTCATTGTCCTTGAATTGAGTAATCGGCAAATTGAATTCCTTCTTGACTTACACGTTCTCCGTCAATGACTAGTAGAGTGCATAATTTTCCTACTGTAAACAATAACAATAGTCAATATAGACCATGTTTTGTGTTATTTATTAGTACAAGGAAACACTTCTGGTGAAAAGATGACTGATTTGACTTTAGTGAGAAACAGATATAGTACGACTTTTTATATAGGCCTAAAGAGCAATGTAATGACATCGACGACAGGGAGCCTCTACAAAACAACGATTGTAGTCACCTAAACGCCAGTTTAGGTAACATGTGCTATTGCCCGTCGTTGAATAGATCGTTATTTTCAAGGTGCTCGACGGCCTTCTTATTTTTTTATGGCCTCAAAAAGGTTGCTGGTGATATTGAGGAGACTGATGGGTTTTTTCTGGAAGGAGAAAAACCGAACGCCCGCCTTCTAGAAAACCAGACATACGCTTGATATTTTCCACGGGCTTTGGAAGGATTTCTCCTTCAAACTAGGATTGGGAATAATTCCGGGCTGATGCTCTAAAGAACAACCACTGGAATTTTGTCTGGACCTTCTCACATTCAAGGCCTTAGATACGTCGGGAGACTTCAGGTGTCGTGATGGTAATATTACTGAGATTGCGCTCAATGAAACGTGGGAACTTGGGGAAAGCCTAATCTTTGTCACCTAACGTTGAGTTAAAGGCAAAGATGCAGGCGAAGAGGTTAGCCTTATCTGTAGAGGTAGATATGACGTCGGGGCCATTTATTATTTTCGAAACAGCCGCGTTTACCTCTGTTTATGAGTTGGTTGGTGATTTTCCAGAATTCATAGGATCCAATCTGTTCTTTTCAACATTGGTCTGGATTGCACGCACGAAGCTGCTTTTCGCATTTTCTGGACATTTCTTGCAACTATTGCAGGAAGTTCTGAATGCAGTGAGGGCCAAACTACTTTGCTCCTTGCGATAGATATTTAAGTAGTGGTTTCGGGGAATTATGGCTGAAGCACATTCAGGGGTGAACCAGGGTTGATTGCTTTTTGCTGGAATTTTTCACTAGGTAAAAATCTCTCCATTCCAGAAAAAATCCAGTCAGTAACAAGGGCAGCAGTTTTGGGGCAGAATTCATAGAGGAAGTTGGGAAGGAAGCTTCCATCATCTAGGATCGAAAGCCGTCCCAGTCTGCCTTCCCATAGCGAAAAATCGTTCTATGGAACGATACATCAGGGGATACCTTAGGTTTGGCATCAATCTAGACAATGATTGGGGAATATCTGACGTTCCTATTTGAGGTAAAACTTTTGATGGGTTTTTATCAGAGTAGGAGTTTAGGAAGAGGTTGAATAGGTTCGCCTGATGTTCTGTCATGTCCAGAACTCGATTAGGTTCTCCGATGATCTGGATTAGTTCATGGGTGATGGAGAAGTCCATGAAATATCTGATTTAACACTGGTTATTTTCTCCTGTGTCGTTAGTACGCTAGTCCAATTTTAGCAATTTTTTTTTTTACTGCACTTCATTCATACATTTTCCGCCATGTTCCCTGATTTTTAGATTTCCAGAATATTCTTCTCTCTCAGTTTATTGGTTTTATAAAATCGATCTTCTGCTCTTTCCTTCTTCATTTATATTGCCTCGTCTTTCTTTCTTTTTCTTTCTTTCTTTCTCACTTGCATACTTCGACGATACATTTCTCTTCCTTCATCATTCATATTGTTTCTCTTCTGTTTTATCTCCCTTTTTCATACTTCAAATATAGTATTTCCTCGTTCTTTCTCTATCTCTCTTTCTCTCTCTATTTATCTTTCTCTCTCTTTCTCTCTCTCTCTCTCTTTCTCTTTCTTTCTCTTTCTACTTTTTTCATTCAAAAAGGAGAGGAAGTAAGGAAGAAAACAAACAGACCAACGAACAAACAAACGCTGCATGCTCCCTCCTTTTTTTACGTACACCCCAAAATTGGAAATCGGTTCTGTTTAGATTTGGTGTTAGCTCCGCAAAACTTTTTGAGAGTAATGATTTTGCATACATTTCCTCGGAAGAAAATTAATTTCGCCTTTTTTTTTATTCTCTTGTGGGGAGGTTTCAATACAAGCGGAAATATAACTAGAGGGTTTTTTTTTTGTATATAGCCGAATTGATGAAGCTAGGAGTTTCAAAGAAGCCGTATCCCTTAGACAGAAAAGAAAACTACAAAAAGAAAAACACAAGAGAAAATATTCTCCCCAGAATCAGCCAGAAAATCCAATCTTCCCCCAGTTACACCAAAGTACAAAGAGTAACGAATTATACCCTCGACTAAAATATATTCAGTTTATTAAGAACCTTAATCAAGATTGTTTTTAATTTAGATTAACCTTTCATTCAAAGTAACTCTGGTGTTTTTAGAGACAAGTTATGCAATGATTTTAGTATGTTATTTACCGAATATTATAATCTTATTTGTAAACTCTTATAAATCGGCTACTGAATGTCTAAATGTATATTATCATTTTTTGAATCATTTTTCTTTCGTTTTGAAAGATGGTTTTATATAATTAGATCTAAATAAAAACACGTTAATTGAAAATAATTTATTAAAATATTTAATGGCCTAAAAATATTTGCCAAAATAATAATTTTGTGTAACTAATTTTATATTATTTTTATTCATTGTGCTAAAATCAGCAGTGAATGTATCGTAACTATTTTTATACGTGAAATTTATTGTGCGTTGTCAATAACAATTTTTTTCTTCAAATCTGTTGTGAGAAGCAGCACTTTTATTGCGAACTGTGGAGGGTTTTTTTTTCAGTAAATGTTTAATGACTCCTAGTGTATTTGTTCCGGAAATAATATTGACGGGCTCATGTGAGTCCGGAGAAAAATAAATCACAAAAACTTGGAGTTTAGACAAATAAGTATTAATAAATATATTGAACAGACATGTTATGACAAGGAAACTGAGAAATCAAGCTAATCTTGTGACGAGTTCAGAACGACATTCAGTATGCGTTTCTGAGTTATTTACATGACCACAAAGAGAAAAGAGACATCTTGTCCCTGCCAAAATCGAAAAGGCAGGCGCTCAAATCTCGCGCTGCATATGATTATCGTTAAGGGACGGTAAAGCAATGTGATTATCGTCAGGAGGCGGTCATTCAACAAATAATAACATAAATTTAGCCATCTATTCTTTTTTCTCTCATTTACTTTTTAATTGTCGTATTTTTTGCACCTTTACCACGATGTCAGACATTTAAATAAACATATTTATATTTTGGGTGCAACTTTGTCTATTCTGTGTTCTTTGTGGTATTTCGCGATATGACAAACAAA